CTCAGTCCTCTGCTGGTGAGGTGGCTTTTTTCCCCCAAAGCCAAAGACCAGGAGGCCCCGAGCCGTGTTGTGACAAAGGGCGGGCTTTCTCTGCTGCACAGCACGTGACCAGCCTGGGCCCCCGACCACGGCTGGAATGCTCTGTGTTCTGGGACCTCACGTGCCTGCTGTCAGGTTTAAATGAGATAATACGTGCTGTTTGATTACAAAGCTCCGTGGCAAACAAACACTGCAGAACACTTGAGAAACGTTCGCCCCTGTTGCCATTATTGCTGTTGTAACCCGGTGCCTGGCACACAGCAGGCACTCGATGCATGCTCATTCATTCACTGCTGGGCTCTGAGGCCCCAGTTTGGACCAAGGAAGGCGTGGGCAGAGCAGGTAGGGGTGAGACATGGACGGGGTGGGGGTGAGGTTAGGGCCTGGGCCGCAGGTGGGGGCTGGCTGGAGGTGGGGCTGAGAGGGGCTGGGGGCTCTGCAGCCCCCTGAGGACCCTGCGGTGGTTTTTCTCCCCGAGCTGAGCAGGTGTTGGGAAAGCTCTGCCTGCCGAGGAGACCGTTGATTGGATCACCGTCGAGGCCTTTCCCCATCTGAGTTTCTCAAAGGTGCCCATGGCTGCCCGTCAGGGATCTAACCAGCTTCCAGTGACCGCGTGTGGCCGTGCCGAGCGGGCGGGACACATGCGGAGCCTGGACGTTTGGGGATGTGGGGTTTCGCTGTGGGTTTGTGGTTCAGCAGTGGCTCAGGGACCCCTGCAGGTGGGGAGCCTGTGGTCTGCCGGTCACTTCGCTTTGGGCTCGCTGTGGCTCATGGACAGCTCTCTGCCCCTCTGTTTCCCATCTGAGCAACGGGCGATGGGAGTAGTTGCTCTCTGGGGACCTCGGTGAGGTTGTTCTGTGACAGTCACCGCAAGAGGAGTGACAGTCTGAGCGAGGAAGCAGACAAGGTGTCATGACCTCAGATGCCAGGCAGGGGCTTTGAGCCTTGCCGTGAGAGGCAACTGGGAGCCACTGAAGATCCCCTGCGCTCTCGGAGTCGGCGCTCAGGTCCAGGAATCCCGTACTGCCCTCCTGGGGCCTCTGTCTGCCCTCAAATGGCCCCAGAATGCCAGAGCTTTGCCCAGCTGTGCCTGAGCATCCTCAAGGCTTGTGACTCATGGTGGAAACCTTAGGCGTTCGGCCAGGCTGTGGAGTCGCTCAGCCTGGAGACCTCGACTCCCTCTGACAGCCTCCTCCCCCACGCTACGGGGTCTGGTTCGACTTCAAGAGGGCTGGTGCCTTTGTTCCCCGAGCCAGTGGGGCGCTTGTCAGGAACCGCGGGCAGCGCTGCCAGCTCTGGCCTGACTTCTGAGCCTCATGGGCTCTTGGAAGGGGCCCAGGCTCTGCCATCTGGGATTTCCCCGAGCGCCTCCGGGCAGGGCTGAGACTGTCCATCTCGGAATGTCTGAAGCTGAGCAGTCTAGAGGTGAAAGCCACTCCATCTGCCCTCTCGAGGGACTGAGTGCAGCGGGCAAGCTGGACGAGCAACAGAGGCAGCCCTGGCAGTGGCTGCGGACACCACCGAGGCAGACCGTTTGGGCTCCGCGCTGACTGTGTGACCTTGGGCAAGTCCCTCCACTCTCTGGGTCTGTGTCCTAGGTCTGTGATGAGAAGGGGGGCCATGTCCCTAGGAGCCTGGCACGCAGTTGTCGTGGTTACTGCCAAGTTCATTACTGTGATACCAGCTAGACCAGGTGGGTAGGGAGCAATTCTGGAGAGGAGGCTGGACCACCACCTTGTGAGCAGGGAAAGGTGCTTCAGGGGAAGCTTCGAGAAGAGGTGAGAAACGAACTGGGTTCTGAAGGATGAGTAGGAGTTTGCCTGGTAGAGTCCATAGAGGGAAGGGAAAGTACGTGCAGAATATGCTTGGGGACAGCAAGAAGTTCAGTGCATGTCAAGGCCCGTGGGAGGAGCAAGGCCAGAGGAGTTCACTGAGGTCAGATTCTAGGCGGTCTTGGGTATCAGGTAAGGAGGGTAATGGGGAGCCATGGAAAGTTTTTGAACAGGGGAGAGGCATGGTCAGAGTTGTGGTTAATCTGGCAGGGGCAGAATAGCTTGGGGACAAGAAAAGCAGGCTGTGGCTTTGTGTGCCATCTCTGCCTTTTTCCAGCTGGTGACCTTGGGCAAATCTTGTTCCCTTCGTGTCTCAGTTTCCTCATTTGTAAGTGGGGCCTATAATAGCGCTGCGAGGATGAAACGAGGTAACACTTGTCAAGGGCTCAGAGAGGGCTGGGCATGCGGCAGGTGCCTGGTTATTGTGTGGAGCAGATTGGAGGGGCGGAGACCAGAGCTGGAGGTGAGCGGGGAGGCCATGCAGGGTCCAGGCGAGAGAGGCTGAGGACAGGCTGAGGCCTCAGAGGAGGGAAGGGGAAGTCACAGGCAGAGACAGGCCATGCGTCACAGAGGAGAGCACTGGCCTTGGAGTCCAGCAGGCCGGGTGTGAATCTAAGCTCTGGCACTTCCCAGCTGTGTGACCCAGGAGAGGCCCCTGGTTTCTCTGAGCCTCGGTTTTCCTCATCTGTAAAATAGGCCTGCTGAACTCTACTGCTCAGATCCCTGGCGAGGGAGAAGTGGGGGTGCCAGGCCTGTGGGAGACACCTGCTAAGTGCACTTTGAACTTGAAACTGGCAGGAAGGACAGAGGGAGCAGAGGAGGTGGCTGGAAGGCAAGCGAGCACGACGGGCTGGGGGGAAAGACAAGGGGGATGGGGGATGTTCGCTGGTAATTAGAACGTTTGAACTTCAAAAAAGTTAATTAACGATGAAGCTGCTGCTGGAGCGATGCTCAGGCTAGAAAGGGGCCCTGGCAGCCACTGAAATTAATTACCGGCTGTGGTGGGAGAATGGCAGTGGGGTGGGGGTGGGGGCAGGAAGGAGCAGGGCTGGGGCAAGGAGGGTCTGAGAGGGAGGTGGGAGGGAGGGTTGTCATCCAAGGTGAGCAAGGGCCAGGGACGGGACGGAGGCTGTCGCCGGGGAAACCAGGTCCGGCTCCCATCAGGCAGGAGGTGCTTAGCCCTGCTGGGTGGGGTCTGGCTGAGGGTCTGGCTCGTATGGCGACATCCAAGCTTAGAACAAGGGCTTTGAAGTTGAGGGGTGAGGGTTTTCATTTGGAAATGCTTAAGAATCACTGGATGTCAGAGTGAGTGAGGCCAGTAGAGATTTATTCCTTCATTCAACAGACGTTTATTGACCTCCTACTAGATGCCTGCCACTCACAGCTCTGAATGCAAAACCCCTGTCCCCTTGGAGTGAGGTTCTAGCTGTGGACAAAGACAAGGAGCATGTCAACAAGACAGCTTCAGGGCATAAGTGCTCAGGAGGCCATAAAGCTGGGAGAGGGTGGCAGTCGGGTGGGAGAGGGTGACTGCTGCGGGAGTGGGTCAGAGAGGTTGGGTGGGGACTTCTCAGAGGAGGTGACAATGAAGCCAAAGGGTCAGAAAGCAGCCCTTGAAGGTCTTGGGAAGAGTTTTCCAGGTAGAGCGCATGGCATGTGCAAAGGCCCTGAGGTGGAGAGTGCCTGTGGTGCCTGAGGAGTGGCAGGAGGACAGTGAGGCTGGAGGGGAGTGAGCAGGGCAGAGATAGAAGGAGATGAGGCAGTGGGGAGTGGTAGGTGGGACCTTGCAGACCACAGCGAGGGCTTCGAAGTTTATACTGAGAGAGACAGGGAGCCATGGCAGGGTTTTGAGCCGGGGAGGAGGTGATCTCGCTGATGTTTTCAGCAGCTCACTGCTGCTGCAGGGAGAGTGGACCAGAGGGGCCCGAGCAGACCTGGGGGCCCAGTGAGGAGGCTCTCGTCTGCCGGTGGGGAACCTGCAGAGATTCAGAGACCTCAGAGCGGGTCCGTGCAGGGCCTGGAGCTCAAACACAGACCCCCTGGTTTACACTTTTACAGCGCAGGAGCTTCCCTCCCTGCTTCCTGGGGCTCAGTTTCTGGGGGCAGGAAGGGGGTGTGTAGGCAGTGTACCCCTCCACTGACAGAAGGAGGACCCGTGTAAGTCCAGTTTCCCCGGGGCCACCCTCTTTTCAATGAGGCACAGGTTTTTGGGGGCCCCGTGGAGCTCCGACCCCTGGTCCTCTGACTCTGGGAGGATGGGGGGGGGGGGTGGTGGGACTGGGCTTTGTCGCTGTGTTCTAAGACTTGGCAGGATTTCACCAGGAAGGAAGGGAAGGGAGAGCGTGTGGATGAGGAGAGCAGCCTGGCCGGGGGAGTGAGGGGGAGCCCATGCATCGGGTTCCACGCACGGGCCCCAGAGCCCTGCCCAAGGCTGGGGAAAGAGATGGTCTCTAGCCCCCCTGGTTGCAGGAGACGTTCTGCCTGGGCAGGCCTGATGAAGCCGAGCTCACCCCACTTGGTGCAGGGCTGGCGAAGGCCTAGGTGCAGACATTCTGGAGTCTGGAGAGGAGCTCTGACCTGGCCATAGGGGAGGAGAGGAGGACAGGGGCGTCCAGCTAATCTCAGCCACGCTGGACAGGCCCGCTGCAGGCTCCACATCCAGGCCTCCGGCAGAGATGGAGCGGGCATGGGGCAGGGGAGGGGAGAGGCGGTCAGAGAAGGGAGGCAGTGACAGTCAGAGGGAGGGGTCAGAGGCACAGAGGCAGGAAACTCCAGAGATGGCCTGCCAGCCAGGCCTCTGGGGACCTTGCCCTTCTGGGCCTGAAGGGGACTCTCAGGCTGGGGCCAGGAGGTGGGGCTGGGGGTCCTGGCAGGCTGTAGCTTGGAGTTTGGGTTCTCTGGTGGGTTTGGCGCGTGTGGCCGCACACTGTCTGTTGTGAGGTGGGTAGCCTGGCTCCACGGTCTTTGAAAACAGGCATCGACCCATTCAGGGAAGGCACAGGAGGAGGGAAGAGCCGAGAGAGGGGTGTCCACCTGTGTTTGTGGTGGGTGGGGTATTACATTCCAGGGTGCACTCTGCCCACTGTGGCAGCGGCGGCCCCACTGTTTTGTCCTTAACTCTGTGTGCACGTGGTTCGAATGTGTCAGCATGCTGGTGATCCTGCTGAACTGCGTGACACTTGGCATGTACCAGCCCTGCGACGACATGGACTGCCTGTCCGAGCGCTGCAAGATCCTGCAGGTGAGGCTGGCCCGCCCCACCCCGCGCACCAGCCGTGCCTGCCGGCCCCACAATGCCCCGCCCACCCACAATGCCCGCCCTCCGGCCCTGCCCATCCGCCCCGCCCCTTCCCCGCCGTGCCGGTCCGCCCTGCCGTGCCCGCCGCGCCGCATCCCCGCTCCTTGGCCTGCCCTGCTCAGCTGGCTGTCTTCTTCCTCACTCCCTACTGGTCTTACCCATTCTCCTTGGTGGTCCTCTCTCCCTTCCATCCCCTCCTCTCCATCTCCGGGCTTCTGCTCTTGTGCAGGCCGGCATCTTCTCCCACTAGGCACCACCCCCAGCCTCCTCCTGGTCTCCCCAACCTTACACTCCCCCCCCCCCCCCCCCCCCCCCCCCACCCCCCCGCCACCTCGCCCATGCCGGTAGAGCACCAGTGACCTCTGCCGAAAGCCTGCCCTTGGCCCCCGAGTGCTTTTGGAATAAAGGTCAAGCTCCATAACTGGCTCTTGATACCCTAAAGGAGTGAGCCTCTGCTTGCTCTCTTGTTTTCACGTCCCGAGGTCCCAGGTGGGGGCCTGGCCTTTGTACCTGCCACCATCCCGGGTGGCACACGTGTGCCGTAGGCTGGGTGTTGGGCTCACCCCCATTTTACAGCGTGGAAACACTCAGGGCTGTTTCCCTGGGAAAGCCAGATTCCTCCCAGGGGGAGCTGCCCTCTGCCTCCCATGTTTCCACAGGACTCAGCAGTTCCCAAGCAGCCCAGGGCCTCTGGATCCCCTGGGGCTCTTGTTGGAGACCCCTGGCTGGTCCCGAACCTGCAGAGTCAGAATCTCTGGGGGCGGGGGTCTGGGGTCCCAGTGGGCCCCAAGCTCCTCAGCCAGCCCCAGGTCCCCGGGTGGAGTCAGAACTGGTTAGCCTCAGTGGGTACTAGGCTGGCTGCCCTGCTGGGTGGTGAGCTCACCGAGGCCTCCTCTCTGGGTCCCCGACCCCTAGCCTACGTCCTGCTGTCAGTAGGAACTCAGCCCCTTTTGCTGAGTTGAACTGACTGCAGCCCTCATTGATCCCGGAAAGAGCAATTCCACCCAGGTCCTGTCCTCAGGAGATATATACTCGCCTGAGCCCTAGTTAGGGACACGTTTGGGCCTCCTTTCTGAGCAGAGAAGGCAGCGCTGAGACCTGTGCCCGTGGGGGGAGGGTCAGGCCTGCTTGGAGAAAGCTCCTCCCATGGGGGCTTTGGAGTCAGGTAGACCTGAGTGTCAGTTCTGGTTCTGCCACTCACCTGCTGTGTGACCTGAGACAAGTTGCTGAGCCTTTCTGAGTCTCAGTTTCCTCATCTGTAAAATGGGACTGTTCATGGGGGTCATTGTAAGAATTAGAAGAGAGAGTGCAGGTCAAGTGTCCAGTGCCTGACAATTATTAGGGAGAGCCTCTTTGCCCCACTCCCATAAGGAACAAATAAAATGGGCTGTGTGACCTCGGGCAAGTTCATTCCCCTCTCTGGGCCTCAGTCTTCTCATCTGTGAAATGATTGCATTGGACCAGGATCTCTGAGCTTCTCTTCCTGCCTCTTCCAGGAGAAGACGTTTCCAGGTCTTTCCCAGGCCCCTCGTGTCCATGCCCACGTCCCCACCTCACACTGTAGCTCTGATCCCTGGGTCCTGCTCCGAACCTCACACTGTCCCTGCTTCTTGCCTTCCTCCTGCCCCTGCAGGTGTTTGACGACTTTATCTTCGTCTTCTTTGCCATGGAGATGGTGCTCAAGATGGTGGCCCTGGGCATTTTTGGCAAGAAGTGCTACCTTGGGGACACATGGAACCGACTGGACTTCTTCATTGTCATGGCAGGGTAGGTGGTGCCCGTCGGACGGGACTGGGCCTCTGTAATTTAACGAACCCACGGGGCTTTGGTGATAGTGAGGAAGCTGCGTGGTCATGTCTGGGGCCCTCCTGGACCCCCGGGGGAGGACTGATGCCCCTTCACTGAGTGGCCTGGACAGACAGACAGTCCGTCCTCCTCTCTGTGGTCACCTTGTGTCCTCCTGCACCGTCAGCTGATACTGGGTCTGTTTCCACTGACTAACTGTATGACCCTGAGAAAGCCACTTGACCTCTCTAAGCCTCAGTTTCCTCAGCTGTAAAACAGGGATAATAGTAGTCGCGTCAAAGTGAGCACCCGGGGAAAGTTAGCTCTGATTACTGTTATTGTTATTGTTATCGTTATTGACATGGAGCATAGACTCGAGCACCGACTGCAGCCTGTGGTTATTTCTACCAAGACACAAGCTCCGTCGGAAGGGCCCGGGGACAGCAGAGCCTATCTGCAGCATCTGTGCCTTATTCTTGCTTTTCTGGATCCACCAGGCTGGCGGCCCATTCACACCTTCATCCAACAACCGGGGGTGGGATGCGCTCCTGCCAAGTGTCAGTGCTGTCCTAGAGGAGGGGTCCGCAGCACAGCAAGCCCAGACGTGGGCTTTGTCCTTCCCGACTACTGTCTGGGGAGAGGCAGGCCACAGCGACCGGGGTGAAGGTGTCACGCACAGAGAGGAGGGCTCTGGGCAAAGCGTTGTGTTTTCTGAGAGCATCTCTGAGCCAGGCTGGGGACTTGGGGGCTTGGGGACTTTCCTGAGGGTGACACACAAGAGCTGAAGGTAGGTGTTAACTGTGCCCAGTATTGGGTCAATATGGCAGAAGTGAGGAGGGAGAGAAAAAGGGTGGAGGCCCGTGAGTGTGTGTGTACATGTGAGCGTGTTCGTGTGTCATTGTATGAGTGTGCGTGTATTCACGTATGTGAGTGTGTCAGCATGTGTGTGTGCTGCCATGGAGAAGGGGCAGGGAGGGTAGTCAGGCACATGGCCGAGATGGGGGTCAGCACCACCAAGTATACGCTAAATACTGCGGATGTGTTCTGAAGCGAAATGACTTGTCGGCTAGTGTTTTAAAAATGTTACACCTCTTCTAAGCATCCTTTCTACAAACGATGTTCAGCTTCACAACCACACTGTCAGCAGCTCTTCAGACCTAACTAGCAGTCACGCTGGGTTCCTTTGGTTTCTCGTGAACCATGTCACCCCTCTGTCAAGGTCTTATTCTCATTCTCGTTCTGGTTTGGCTGGAGGATATCCTGAAGTAGTCTTTATAAAGAAAAGCTGTTTGGATAGTGTCATTTTTCAGTCTTGCCTGTGCAAACATAGATTCCTCTGATCTTCATGTGTGAAGGACAGTTTTCACGTGCACTGTTCCAGAACCATCATGTTGATCCCTTGGAACCTGGCACATGGTACCGTTCAAATCTACGACACGGCACTGTGGGTGAGTCCAGTGGAGGTCTGAATCTTATTTCTTGGGAACAACCTGCTTTTTCCTTGCTGGAAGCTTGTAGGGTATTCTCCTTACTTTCAGACTTTAGACCCTTCACTAGGGCCAGACTGGGTGTAGGATCGCTCCCTGTGGGGCCTTTTGGAACTCAAGATGCGACACGTATGTTCCTTCAGGTCAGAAAGAAATTCTTTTATTTCTTCTTTGATCGTTGCCCATCCTTCTCTGCTCTCTCCTGCGATTCCCATTAAATGGATACTTCTCTCCTCTCTCTGTTCTGTACATCTTTCCTCTTTCCCCTCTCAGACTTCATCTGCAGCAGGAGAGAAGTCCTTGACTGGGTCTTCTGAGTCACTAACGACACCCCTTCCTCTGTTTACAGCCCCTGTCGGAAGCCTTCATCTCCTCTGCGTCTCGTTTATTCTCAAGATAGCTTCTCATTTATTTATTTATTTATTTATTTAGAGGAAGATTAGCCCTGAGCTAACACCTGCGGCTAATCCGCCTCTTTTTTTGCTGAGGAAGACTGGCCCTGAGCTCACATCCGTGCCCAAGTTCCTCTACTTTATATGTGGGATGCCTGCTACAGTGTGGCTTGACAAGCGGTGCATAGGTCCACGCCTGGGATCCGAACCAGCGAACCCCGGATCGTGAAAGCAGAACATGCAAACTTAACCGCTGCGCCACAGGGCTGGCCCCCCCAGGATCACTTCTTGTTCTTGAGTTTTCAGAAAAGCTTGTGCCTCTTTTTGTTTTATAGATGCAGTATTCACTCAAATCTCCTTATGGACACTCAGTGGGCTTCTTAAAAGTCCTTTCCTGATCCTGAAGTCAAAGTATAAATTCCAAAAAGCTAAAAAACAAATGACCCCCACACCAATCTTAGGAGGAAAGTGTATCACAGATTTATTCCCCTTGTGAGGGAGGAACCAGCAGAGTTAGGACAATGGGTGTTGGAGGAAGAACGCTTAGCGTCAGAGCTGCTGGATGACCTACAGGGTCAGAAAGCCATGACCTTGGGGGTTATCTTTTCTGTCAGACAGAAATCACTTACGGAAATCGACAAGTTAACATGTAATTTCACAGCAGCCAGACCTTTAATTAACAGTAAATAGTGACTCAAACAGAGGAACATTCCTCTGGATAATAATCCTTAGATGGGTCTGTTAACCCCACGATGACGTTGTGAGAAATACCGCCTTCTCTTTGCCCATTTCCAGGTTTTAGGATAATTTTTCTTAATTCCTGTTTTGGGGAAGTCATTTGTTTTGCTGGCTCCGTCACTGCCCCCTGTGAGCGTGCCGCCTGCCCTTTGGACTTGTAGAGTCTCCTCTGTTGCTTGGTGACTCCCCTCTGTCCCCTCACATTTACAGATTCAGACAGTGAAGATCTGAGCTGAGCAGAGGGAGGAGCTGGCCCGTGAGGTTTCCATTCGAAACTGTCTCTTGGTCCTTGGGGTGGGGGCGGGATGAGGTGGGGTCCGCAGGGCAGCTCCTCCTGGCGGGAGGGAGGGCTGGCCACGTGTGCAGTGGCACAGGGCCCCATGCTTGGTTTAATGCTCTGCGGTCACCATTTAAAAATTCTTAAGTTTTGAACCAGGGGCCCTGCGTTTTCTTTTAGCACTGGGCCCCCTAAATTATGTAGCTGGTCCTGGCTAGGGAGGAGACTTAGTGGAGACCCACGTGCCCAGCTCTGTGTGGGATGCTGGGGACGCAGGTGACACCGACCTGTCCCTCTCTTGAAGGTCCTCCCATCCTTTGTGCCTAGGGATGGCGTGGCTGCGGAAGGCCAGATGGGAAGCCACAACCCGGGGCTCCCCAGGTCTGCTCCCACTCCAGACCCGTCCCCAGAGCTGCCTGCCCAGCCCCCGCGGTCCCACCCAGGCTTGGTGCTATAAATGTTCTGTTTCCCAAGTAACAGGCCTGACATCCCAAGGATGTCTTCTTCCTTCCTGCTCCTCCCCTTCCCAAAATTCCTGGCTCCTTCTTCAAGCGACAGAACCTCCGCGCTGGAAGGTTCCTTAGAGGTCAGAGCCTTCATCTCCACTCTAGTCAGCCCTTGCTTGCATGCTGCCACTGCGGGGAACTCACCATCTCACAAGGCAGCCAGTCCCCAGCTGGGACAGCCTAATGTGCTAGAAAGTTCTTTCTTTCACTGAGCTGACATTTGTCTTCCTGGAGCTCCTGCCTGATGGGCCCATTCACTCACAAATCAGCATTTATTGAGCACCTACTATGTGCCAGGCCTTGTGCTGGGCAGGGGGACACGAGATGAGACAGATGCTGCTGTGATCTCAGGGGCCTCACAGTTTAGAAGTAGATATAAAACATAAAATTCTAAATAAATCCTAAATTGGGATCAGTGCTGTCACAAAGAAGCAGAGGGACCTGATTTAGACAGAGGGGTCAGTGTCCGGCTCCCCAAGGAAGAGGCTCCAGGTAGAGAGGACAGCATGCAGAGGGCCTGAGGGGCCATCTGAGGAAGTGAGGGGGAGCGGAGGGGGGTGTTGGAGCTCAGGGACCCCCGGGGTAGGAGTGGGTGCAGAGAGATGAAGCCAGAGATGGGGGCAGGGGCCTGACTGCACGGGGGCCCCGAGCCTGCAGACTCAGGACAGTCCTTCCGAACTCAGGAGGCGTCTCCCCTTCTTCACATGAAATGTCCCCAGTGCCTCCCACCATTTGTCAAAGGACAGGTGAGGAGGCCTCACCTGCTGGACTCCGCTCAAGTGACCAAGGCCGTCTTGGTCCCTGGCTGGGAAGCAGGAGCCTGCCTCCCAGTGGGGACTTATGGGGCGGAGAGGACGGGCTGTCCTTGTCCCAGGGCCGTGTAGGATTGTGGTGACCTGCTGAGAGGCTGTGCTCCCTGCCACCCCAGGTGGTATTCACCCTCCAAGCCAGGGTCTCTCCCACCCCACTTTTTTTTTTAACCCAAATACAAAACCTGGCATTTCTTGCTATCAGTTTCATCTTACAGGGCTCTCCTGGAGTCCTGATCCAGTCACTCATTACATTTACTCCCTGTGCTCCATCAGACCAGGACAGCGAGCCCTGAGGCACTTCACTAGAGACTCTCTTCCAGTGTGTGACAACGCCCCGGTAATCATCGGGTAATAGCTGAACCCACCTCACCATCTTATTGAAGCCACGTGTTTCTGCCCTTGTCCATTAGGAGGTCATGAAATATGCAATGACGTTCTTGTTGAGCTTGAGGTCTTCTTTATCCGTATCTCTCCCTTGCTGCATCGTGCTGGTAATGCAACCTCCTCCCCGAAACCAAAAACATGAAATGGCCATTGCCGGCTGCGTGGCTCGGTGGGGGGGGGGGGGGGGGGGGGGGGTGGGCCCCGCTATTAACAGCTTCCCCAAGAATTCCAATGCCAGGTCTCTGCAGGGACCACTCCAGAAAGAGGCCGAGCCGAGCCTTGCCAAGAGAGTGGCCGGCTTGGGCCCCGCCTGGGATGAATGCAGGGAACAGGAGCCACCTTAAGTCTGGAAGCTCTTGAAAGCTTCCGGCTGGGTCTGAGGGCAC